TCTATTGCGGTATGAAAAATATCTATATTATGTCGATAAAATCTTGGTACGTATTCGGCTTTTGACACCTTGATTATCATTGACTATCTTCAAAATTTCATTAACCCTTAGAAGCCGATACCGCCTCTTTTGGGAACTTTGGTTTAAAAGGTCGTACGAATAATGTAAAACTTTTCTATATTACAAAATTGTAATAATTTTAAATTTAACGAGTTAATAATAAATGATGAACAACTGCAAATTCATTTCATCCCGACAAAATACTCATATAAACAGTGAGCTTAGATTCATAAGCTTTGAAATTCATTTACCTTTTTTAATATCTGCTCTCCAGGTTACTGAAATATGAGAAATAGTATTTTTTGTTTGCGACAAATTTTCTGTCATATACACTTTAGTTTTTTTTTTTTTTTTTTGTAACTTCCGCTTAATGATCAGATATGAATAGACGGATGTCTAATTTCAGCAAAACACTCTTCCGGGATTCCTTTAACTAAATAAAATTTGAAAACAATGTTAAAAAAGTTATGGTAATGTACGTCAATTCAGTTTTTTTCAGATAATACTATATTTCCTGAATAAACAAATTCGGACCTTTTTGGATAATAGCCCTTTTCTACTTCATTATACTTATGTGTAACTGAAGACCTGTTTTATGGTAGTCTCACTCCTTCGCACATTCTTTCAAACTAAAACTGATATATTTTAAATTCGTTTAAGAAACATTATCATTGTTTTTTATAAATTGATGCTCATCATCTTATTTTACGGGAAAATAAAATTAGGAATAATAAAAAAAAAAAAAAAAAAAAAAAAAAAAAAAAAAAATTCAAAAACAACCTAAAAAGATGAACTCCATATCTATGCGATAAATGTGAAGAAGTCAATAACATGTAGAATGAGAGAACATTCAGCATGTTCCTTTTGCCAAGATTTGTAGTGTATGTGTTTTAAAACATATGGAATGATAAAAAACATGATGCTTTAATTTGCTTTTTTTTAAACTCGGTTTATATATGAGCTGAATACCTTGTAAGATTCCAACCTGGATACCTTTAAGTTACAGTTAAGGTGAGGAGCCTTAAGAACGGATAAGCGAATAATCTCTTGAGTTCGTGAGATGGAGAACAAAACGTGAGAAGGGTTAAATACCCTTTATTATTCCAACTAAAGTTCACGGAATACTCCTTCTTGGAATTTTACAATAAAGCTTCCACTCGGGCTTGAACTCAGGAAACTAAGAAATTAAACTTAACTAAACTAACTAAAAAGATATAGCCGAAGCTATCAAGATTCTAACAGAGTTGGCCCCTTAAAGCTAATTAACGGCGAAGCTATCAAGGGCCTAAAGTACGGCCGATCATAGAAATAACTTTGAAGAGAGTATAGCTGAAAGGCTAACGCACGCTGCATAGAATCTATGGCTCTCTCACGAAGTCAGTAGAACTTCACAGTTAAATACTTCTTCTCATTCAAACGCAATTCTGAAAATACGTTCTGGCCGGAAGTTGTAAGCTGAAATTCAGGAAGACAGGAAAGTAACTTTTAACTAAAAATTAACTGTTAGAAAAAGTAACATAAACCTTACGATATATTAAGCGAATAAATCTCACCATGTGCTACATTAAAATTAAAAAAGGAGAGAAAGAAATGCAAGATTGTTTTTAAATATGGAAACACTATGCAAAGGTTGTTAAAGAGAAAATGGTCCTATTTTAAATTTATTATTCATTTATTGAATAATAATATCAGATCAAATAACTTTTAAACAAGTTATTCAGCAAACAAGCTCTTAAGTGCTCATACAATTAAACGGCACTCCTTGAGCATTAAGAATGTGTGTTATATTACGTTAATTCATCTCACTATATTTATGTTATGTTACATTAATTCATCTCATTATAGTCCTGTTAGATTTTAAATACTGTGTTCGTATGTTTGAAAACATTAGTAATATATACTGCTTTAACTTTTCTGAACGGTAAATAAAATTTATTTATATAATTTTAGAGTTATAATTCTTGAAAAATAATCTCCTATATAAAATTAGATTCAGCATCAATCTTGTGTTATCACTCACAAGTGGAATTCTTTTATTCTAAAGAAACTTTGATTTTGAAAATTAACAAAGTAAATCTTTGTAGGCATTTAAGAGATCTATTTTTATTTTATACTATTCTAATTAGCATGTGATACGAAAATAAAATCTATGTAAAGCAAATATGCAGCGAAATCGATACTGAATTTTTTAATTTAATTAAAGTTGAGTAATATTAAAACTGAAAGAAATCATCAGACGAGACATAAAGGATGACTTAAATGCATTCGCAGGAAATAATCGGCACCCCCCCCCCCCCGCATCCCAGGCTCATTTGCAGCGTCAAGAAGAAAGGAATCGTGACGATTGAGGTGAAGAAAGGAATCGTGACGATTGAGGTCAAATTGATCTTATGTGATACTACAGTGACAGTATTGACTGAATTTGTGCATTAGTCAAAGTGGATGGTTTGAAGAAATCCTATTAAATTCTATCTGAATTCTTCAAGTCATACAGTATATTTTGTATAGTACGTCAGTCAACTATAACTTAAGGAGGTTAGCAAGGAACACAAATTTCGTGAAATGTATTACCTTTCTACTGTTTAAAAAAAGCGATTCTCAATAACCACAGAGTTTATGATACTAAGACTAAATTATTTCTGCAAGTATATAATAAAACATTCATGTATAGGAATTCATACACACTACTTTAAGCACAATTTTTAAAATCTGTTTGGACAGAGTAAAGACCCAGGTTAAATGCTGACTTTTATTTCGTTCAGCATGTGAATAATGTTTAGATTTTGCAGAGGTAGCTGTAGTACGTTCATACATGGTACCTTACGTAGTACAGCTTGAAAAATCAAGATCAGATTAATAATTAATTGCTACTACCATTCGAAATATATTTTACGTGAAAGCAAATCGACAATACTGTGTCCGAATTTAAAATATGGGACTTGAAAGCATAAGAGAAAGATACGATTCAATAGCAGCCAATTATTTTCATACAATATCTATACGTAAGGACTGCTAATTGACCAGTTTGTTTCTCACTACAGCGTGAGAAAGCTATGCTTTAGAAAAACACCTAGAGCAAAAAGACAAGGCTAAATAAAGAGATACGTGACGTGCATACTACTATTTATTAGTTCTTCGAAACTACCTAATACTTTTAAAATTCGAAATGAAAGTGGTATGTGTACAAGTCACAAGTTGCTCTTACTATACAAAACTGAAGTTTGTAAGTTCCCCTTTAGTACATTCTTAATGTACTGAAGATTTTTAATTCTTAATGGTCTGGACAAAATTATTAAGCACGAAATCTTGCCTTGGGGGTTAATATTCATAAAGATGCGTTTTATTTACGCTGTAAAAGTAAGAACGTTATACCCAGTCATTAATGTAGTAAAAGAATGAGTAACGTTCAATTGTTGAAGTTCTCTCTGCATAAGTTCTTAATGACTGAGTTGAAACATTATGTATTTCTTAATAAGTTCTTGTTATGAAAAGTGTCTTAGGATTTAGGCATAAGAACTCTGCACAGTAAAAGTCTTTCATGAAAGGGCACATATTATTTCTGTAGACAGTTTTTGTTGTTAATGGACTCATGGCAAGCAACATAAACGGCAAAAACTAAGAAAAAAAACCTAAGACGTTGTTAATATTTAGATATAAAAATTCCTCTTCTTAGAATTCTATTATTTAACTAAGCAAAAAATGGTGGGTATGATATATGCAATTTGATTGTTATAAAAAACAGAGAGACCCCCAGAACATGACGTTAGAATTATATCCCCCTTCCCTCGAGACCACAGTCTAATTGATAAAGAATCTGTAAATATTGTAAATAAAGAAAACTAATATGTCCCCTTTCTCTGAATAACATCTCCCAGTGGACAAGTGAATAAAACAACTGAGCACTGATAGTTCGTCCTGTGTTTAAAAGTTTTTTTAAATGCATAGTCGTTTTTGTAATTTTTCGCATGTGTACTACAAATATGAGAATTTTTTCTTAGTCCTCTGCACGTAATTAAGCCTATATTACTTTGCATTACCTGACAGCTTGAAATAACTAAATATGGATTAGCATAAATTAGGCAGCATTAAAAATACGTAACATTGCACAACAGCATATATTGAAGAAAAAAGGAATATTGCACAACAGCATATTTTTTCATTATAAGATAAAAATTGTTTTAATAATAGGCCGTATAAGATTAAATATGTGTAAATAGTATAAAGTATTGTATAAAAGTATGGATGATTCAAATCCTTCTAATATATAATATTAAACGTCTCCTATGTCACATATATTAATTTTATAGGTAAGAATGATAAAATGTGTCCAATAAAATACTCCTTTAAATGATACTGAAAATGCAATCTTAAGTCCATTGATTATGATATTCTTTCATTATACAAAGGAATTACATGCATTTAAAATTTTTTCCTTTATATTTTTTTCCAGTAATGAAATATTACTCACTACATGGGGCTTTGAAATATATGGATAACACACTGGTGAACAATACTGCATTTCTGAATGGAAATAATTTTATCAGCATTTCTGCAGCATGCAGTCTATATTAACTAAAATTCGCAGGATGAAAAAGACTTCTGATGAAACTAAAAATCTACATCTATTTTGCATAATGATTTATTCAAACGTAGCTCTGAAAGCAGTTGTATTCAAAATTATAGGTATAACCTTAAATTAAATTTTAGAGTTAATTAATTAAATAGAATAGCCTTTATCCAAATAAATGAGACAGTAAAAAAGAGTTTAAACACATAGCTGTCTCTTGTTGGGTCATCAAAAACTTCGTAGGCAAATTATACTGATTTAAGACATATGCTACTACTTTCAGGTGCTTTAAATGAGCACGATATGATTAATTAGACGAATACCTTGCAGAACATGAAATAAAAAAAGCAATGCTGTAATAAAATATTTTTACCTGTACTGGACCTCCTTCTATATGCATTTCATACTGGTATATACGTCTGTAATATTTGAGTTCTGTTCGCCTTTGTTCTTGGTGTTCATCTTCTTGCGGCAAACAACAATCGTATTCCCGAATTATATAATGACGCTCTGGCTGAATCCATCGATGGACAGGAAATACGTGTTCAGTGCTGTGTACTTTATCTTCCACAATTATTCGCTCTAAGAACCAGCTGTGGCCCAAACCAAAGGAATCCCGCCAGAATTCAACCTAAAACACAAAGAAATAAGTTTATGCTTAGCTTGAATTTCCATATCATTAGAATCCAAAACTGAATGTTTAGATAGCGTAAATGTTCTTTCATTACGATATGACATTCCTTGCAATTTAGAATTAAGCTATTAGGTTCCTAGTCGTCAGATACAACTCTTTTTGCAGTCGAAATTGCATATTGAAAAATCATTATATAATTTCAATGAATTCTTAAAAATCACATGCAAATAAATCGTAATTTATCATCAAGTACTTCCAGAATTAATGTAGCTTGGGAAAATCATGTTGCAAAGACTTGTGTCAGTTTCACGTCACGGAATTAATATTAGGAAAAACAATTCATTTCAAAGAGTCGGAAGAAATAATGAGAACTTTTTTTAAACTTTTATAATTCTTTAAAAAAAAATATTGATTGCAGTTGATGGTAAAACGATAGATAACGAATTTCTCTTAGCGATAAACTCTAAAGGGATATCGATCATTCAAAAAACAGCGTGCAGTTCAGCTGCGCTCACTTCTTTTTGGGAAATATATCAGTATTTTATATTATGTGAACGTACTATCTCGTTTCTGAAAGCAGCTTAAGCAGAAAATTCTTAATGCAGTAATGCGGAAACAATGAAAGTTCATAGGGCGAAATACAAAAGATTCTAGATACTATTACTCCGGAATGAAATATTGTATTGTAGCGCTTTGCATTTTCCCCAAGATAATACTGGGTTAAAACATAATATTCGGTAATATTCATGTCTCAAGTACCATATAATTAATGCTAGATTAGTAAATGTTGCTGCAGTTAGCTAATTTCTTTTCATATTTTTAAGTTATTTTAGTTTTTCATATTATTTACCTAAGTTCACCAAGCAATCTTATATAAAAAAATGCTTTTAAACCATTCGCAGTAAAGCAGAACCACTGCTAGGTAGTAAACATGTTAACCTCCTCTCAGTGACGGTGTCGATAAGACTGCTGAAAAATGGTAGTTTTCATTAAATTAGGATATTGACAAATGGGTTGTTTGCATGTGTGTTTTTGTGGTTTTCCCTCATCTAACCCGAAATGCGTGGAAGTTTTCCGTTAGAAAGTCCTTCTCAACGGCATCCTTTTCGTAAAGAGATCGAACCCCACCAGCGGCCGAGTGGTAAAATCGCTGAACTCCGGTAGTTCCAACCTGAGTTCAATTCCAGGCGAATGGGCTGGTTGCACGGGCGTGTTCATGGTTTTCTTCATGTGTATACAAGCTAGTTTCCCTTAGAAACTCCTCCACGAAGGCATTTCTCGCGTTAGGCAGATAGTCCTCATGAACTTACCGAATTCGACTAAATAAACGAGCAAACATGATTACTTTGTTTAAGCGATTTCTTCATATACCTTTTCATTTTCAGGAAGCACTATCATCGGAAATTCTTTTTAAATACTGTCTAATAGCATTTTCATTGCGTGTAGCATCTCATGCAGTTTTTACGGGGCAGGGGAATTAAAAATTCTGCATGGCATAGTTGGTAAATGATGAAGCGCTTATTTCTCGCTGAATGAACGAATATAAAAATTGACTTTTCAATAGCATTACCGTAATTTTGTTGAAGAAAAAAATATATTTCTAAAAGCTTGATTTATTTTTATACATATCCAGTAAATTGTGATTTTTATTAAAATTTTACTAATTTCCTTAACGCAATAAAAATAAAATTAGTTTTGATTGTTTTCAGACGCTTATTTTACGGATAATTTTAAATAACAAGTTATTTAAATAATAGCTACAAATTAAATATTGAAAACTACCCTGAACCCAAATTAGTTTCTTTATAATAATGTTTAACGTACATTTACAAAGAAATTTCTCACCAGATCATTGCATTTGCAGATAAAATAATAACTTATACTTAGAAAGGTACGCTATCATGATAATACTTCATTGCAGTTAGAGGTTTAAGTTTTGTTATGAATTTAGATGAACCCTTTATATAACATGCATTAAACTTTTCAAGATTTGATTTAGCTTAAGTAAGAATTTTTCTAAATTATACCTCTTCAGATAAAAATACTGAAGAGCAATGAGTGTATCCCCTTCCCGGGAAAAAAAAAAAACTTTTACCTTGGAAGGAAGTCCAAACCCTTGTCCAGAGCATGCAAAAAAGGTACACGTTGCTCCTCTTTCGTGATCATTTTTCAGTGTACGGTTGAGTTTTATAGTATTTGTGGAATGTCCTTTCTCATCATGAATGATCATCCAGATGTTGGCATCAGTACCGGCACGTTTACGGTCACCGGTTGTCACATGAATTGTCAGTTCTCTATCAGTTTCGTCATGACGTAAATGAGACCAAACACGACCCATGGTTGAATTATACAAGAGGTTTTGAGCATTGATGTGTGAATACTTTTTATATTATTTAAGATAACCAAAATATCTTGGGTTGAAAATTACAAACCTTGACAACATCTGAAGATGGAACGAAGAAAAAAAAGTTTTGATAGATAAAAAAAAATCAGACAAGACTTACATACAATTCACTTCAGAAGTTGAAGACTAAATACAATAATTTCACTTGATGCTGAAACAGAAAATTTCATTTGATGTCACCCTCAAACGCTTCGAAAAAATGTGATAGAAACTTTAGTTGCATATGCTTTCTTTTGCAATAAATTCAGTACTGCAAAATTCTCTCAAATTTAATCATAGCATTTTTGATGAATAGCGATATAAAAAGCACACACTAAAATTCACATTACTAGACACAAATTATTACACCTGAAGCTATTACGCTTCGCAGTTATTAATTAAAGATCACACATTCTCTTTCCGCACCAAAATTTCTTTAAGCACTTGAAAAAAATTGCAGAATATAATGCATATTAACTGACTTTTTGTGGAGGCAAAGCTTGCGAGTGTAGTTTCCTTGCATTACAAAGAAATTTAACAAATATCCGTTGCGTAATTCCAACGTAACCGCGCAAAAGATGCGAGCGGAACTAGATCAACTTATGAGTGTTAACAATGCAAGCGAGATATTGCTGGGTTAATCCAAAACTTTGTCACATGTTGTTCGTAACAGAAATGTTCTGCTTGAACTTGAAGGTTTCATAACAAAAATTCTTTGTTACCGTTGCGAAGTCTCTTAACCTGATGCGCGTTCACAACCGGTCGCATCTCCTAGCAAAAAACCTTTAGGATTAAATTCCCTAGCAGGATGTTAGAACAACGGGTTTCCATGGTGTGCGATTTCTCGCCAACGAAAAAAGGTCGCCAAATATTAGTGGTATTACTTTTCCTCTCGGATGGTCATTTCCCATTGTTCTTGCAACATAATTTCCTCTTCCATTAAGAGTGCAGTTGTAAAACTGGGAGAAAGTTTTTCCAGGATTGTCTCATTAAATGAAATGGAAAAGGATGTGGAGTAGTAAAGTAATTTCAGGGTTTGTCATAGAGGCGGATTTAAGGGTCACAACCGCAAGCATCCCAGCTTTCTAAGAAAGCCCAAAAGCGCTAATAAATTTTTGAAGAATAGTAATCTTTTGTTGTATGATGACTGACCCACACAAAATCAGGTGCTTGAATTCATAAAGCCGCTTCTAATCTGTTAAATATATTTTCATACCTAACAACAGAAATAAATAAATAAATAAACCTCGCAAAACCCCTTCCCTCACAAACAGACAGAAAGATGAAACAAGAAATTTGACATAGCTGTAGACAATATAATGATTTTTAGTATTCAGAATTGGTTTTTCAACGCGATAAAACAATCTGTTTTTAAAAATGTTTTAGTTGTCCAAAAGGAGGCAAAGTGTGAAAAATACTGATATATCAACCAAGTTAGCAACAACTATTTCAGTAACCAAATATTTCAGTAAGATAAATATCTCAGTTATTGTTTCTACTTGTTAGAAACTTCGGGAAGGTAACAGAAGGCTGAAATCTCCTTTCTTTGAGTCCCTTGAATGTTCGACCTAACTGATCAGTATGTTGTTCATCAAGAAACTAGATAGAAACTCGGAGAGGTTTTAATGTTAAAATTACAAAGAAATAACCAGCTGGAATCCGCATACTATATTATGATACCGGTTAATTGAGTAATGCAAAGAATCGAGGGTTATCTGCTTATGGAAATGGATGCCTTTATGAAGGATTTTTAGGGAACTGTTTCGCATCCACATTATACATGGAGAAACTCACAAAAACTCCTTTGCAGCCAGTCCGTTCGTCGGGCTTCAAACCCGTCTGTCAGCCACCAGTGATTTTACCCTTCGACCATATCATGATAGAGATGGGAACTTGGTGTCGTACAACTACGTCAGGCTGTAGCACTGTAGAGACATTAGGTATTTTTTTAAAGCAGGATAGATGAAAAATGAGCAATGCCCTCGCCGGGACTCGAACCACGGACCTCTCGAATACGCTCCAAGCGTGCTGACCGAAGGCATGCTAAGAAGGCGGGAGAAATACTTGATATTACTTTACCTTTTAAAGGACGACTGAGGATTAGGTGACCCAATCGACAAATCCTGGGGGTGGAGAATCATCATCCACCACCTTTTTTTAGTTCGGGCGCCACTGTAGAGACATTAGGTTATTTCGAAAGCAGGAGAAATGAAAAATGAGCAATGCTCTCGTCGGGACTCGAACCACGGACCTCTCGAATACGCGCCGAGCGTCCTGACCACTACACTTCGAAGGCATGCTAAGAAGGCAGGAGAAATACCTTATAGCACTAAATAAAAAAATATATATTTATGCTTATTTTTTAATAAATGTCATTATAAATAAATGTTAGTATTTCTAGGCATTCTCAAAACACTAGATCGTGATTAACTTTTTTTCCCGCATTGACCACCGTGTTTCGAATTTATGGAATTCTTTATAGAAGGCCTAGGAATTGTAAAGCCTCTGGATTAAAGAAAGCCTCAGGATTTCCGGATGAAAGCAATGAGCAGTACGCAGAATTATTTTTTAAAAGGATTTAATTGAGTTTTTTTATGATTTACCTAATTTGGTACAAAAAAATTTTTTTGTTGTTTTTGAAATTACTAGTTTTCAGGTTTTCCTCCGGTAAATATGACACTTTACTTAACTTCTAAAACTATGTTTGTCTACGGAACGCTATGTCTGGCAGGGTCTGAATAAAGGCTAATGAATTAGAGAAGTAATTCGTCGGATTCGATTAGATTGGATTATTTAATTACGGCAAAGCACACGAGGGCTATCTGCCTAAAGGGAGGGATGCCTTCGTGGAGGACTTTCTAAGGGAAACTGGCTCGTATACACGTTACATATAGGGAAAACACGAAAGCGCCCATGCAGCCAGCCCGTTCGCGGGATTCGAACTCAGACCGAACTACCAGTGTTCAGAGTCTTTACCGCTCGGCCACTGGTGGGCCTAGTAATTCGTCGGAATATTTAAGACAACGAAATGCTTTGCCTTCAGACTGGAAAAGAAAACGATTGCACTAATATGGTTCAGATGCTGGCACAGAAATATAAAAGCCTGGTACATTTAATATTTGTTTAGACCAAATTTAGCTTTCAAGACAGCAAAAACCTATTTCTGCACAGAAAGTATTAAATTTGGACTTCGGTTTTGTGTAAGTTATGCTAGTATTTAAATGCAAAAACTCGACCGGTGTTTTAGGCCCATTTTTCTTTGCAAGTATTCTAAGGTTACTTCGTAGGATTCAGATCTAATGGGTAATTCAGTAATATCTTACAATAGAACCTTGACCTATCGTTCTCGCACCGACTAATTTTCTGTATGCTTTATTCACCATTTTTGATCCTCGAATAAAGTTCTTATAAAAATAACGTAATTTATTCCGCATTGAACAGTCCCCGAGGTTCTCTATTATCGTATTAATTGTTTGTAAATAACGCTCCCCGAGCAGCATTTATTGCATGAATCGTTTAGGAAAAAAAGGTTGAACGAAGTAAGAATTTATTATTTGCAGAATAAATTAGGCAAAATGTCGATCTTGGGACCAATATTTTATATTCCCTATGTGAATGATTTCCCTAATTGTAATAAGAATATAAACTCGCTAATTGCCTGCTACGCTAATGACACCGCAATAATATCTAAGTCCAGGAATCCAAATCCTGCTCTGGTCAAAATTTAAGAAAAATCCCCCAGCGCTGACGCAGCAAGTGCAAAATTTGCATCCAACCTGAGAAATTGAAAATTCTCCCAATCAGGAAATTCCGCAAAAACGACGCTATTAAGAAAGAACTAACGCTCTTAGGAACCCAAGTTCCTAGAGTCAATACTGTTAATTATTTGGGGGTTATCTTAAATAAGGATTTCACCTGGTTCAACCACATGACTAAAGTGTGTGGAAAGGCTTATAGCATGATGTTCAGGCTTTTCCAGCTGTGTAGAAGTGATAGACCTACATTAAATCTGAAGAGGAGACTCTACCTCTAGATCATAAGACCTATTGTCACGTATGGTCACCTGGGCTAACGCCGGTGATAAGGACATTAAAAAACTTCAGGTTCTCCAAAGAAAGCTCTAAGTATCATCACAAACGCTCTCTATATCATTCAAAATAGAAGCCTGCATTCAGATCTCAAGGTGTAATCCATTAAAGAAACCATCACCAGGGTAAATGAAAATTTCTTCAACAGATTAATAAGGAACAAACCTGCAAACTTCGCTGGCATCCTGGCCTATGAGATTCTGGAGGAGTCATAGGTCAGGATGCTGCCCATTTGTTTCACTCAAACCCAAGTGACCACAATAACCAATTACAACACAATACTTCTGTGCGCTGACAATTTTCTGTTGAAAATTGTATTTCTTCAAATTTACGACTCTGAAAGACTATCTCTCGTCTCCATCACATGGAACATAATTTTCTGTGCATTTTAAGTGGTTGGTGTATATAGTTTGCAAATAATCCCCACATCTCAGGATTCGACGAAGGAACCCACTTGACCAGCTCCCAAGCCTCCGGTCTACTTTCAAGATACAAAGGAATACTTCTCCGAAAACTTCACCTCATCTACAGGATATATTTAATTGCGGATTTCACAAAGGTCAGGCCCTAAACGGTAATCTCTAAGGTACTGGTAGGAGCAGAGAAAAATGTCTCCTGCTGTATGCCAGCATACTCACGGAAATATCAAAGTATTGGCAAAATGGAAACGCTTTTTACGCAGTAACGCTTCTCACATGCCCTCAGCTCCGCTTCCACGTTCTTAGCGTAATTTCTAAATGTTACTTCGTTATAAATTTATTTCTACTAGTGTTTGTTAATTTATTCCTGTTGTTTTTAGTAGTTCATTTTTCTCAGTTTTTATTATTTATTAGTTTTGCTTCTACTTAATTTACAAGATCATAGCTCAACCGAACAAGCAAGTGTTAACTACTAAAAATAGTAAGATAGGAAGTAGCTTGAATTTCTGGAGAGAAATATGTGAACATTACAAAACGACTTAAACTGTCTTCTTGCAAATTAAACACGGCAATTTAGAAAGAATCATCAGGTTTCAAATTTTATAAATTTTAAAAATAATATTCCAGAATTATAACTAATATTTTAATGTAAAGGTAAAATATCAGACTTTGGCTTGCAAAAGCTGCTCAATATAACTTCCTTTAGTTATACGAATAATGTCAAGGCTATAGGAAAATTTCCGGCCAAACGAGATCTAATGTGTCAATGGTAACTGCTTCTAAAGCAGCAGAAATCATTCAAGTTCTTTTAGGTTTGACGGCTTTAGCCGCACAAACACCCGCTCTTTCACATATCACGAAAGGAAGAATTCACAAGGATTGGGGGGGGGATGGCATTATCTGAAGACCTAAGGCTTGCTTCAGACTAAGGCTTTATGGCTTAAACCCTTAAGTCCGTTCACACCTGTGCATCAGGATTTAAGCCAGTGCCATTGAGAGAAGGTATGCCGTCTCTCGCTTTTGGTTTCAACTACTTGGAGCTTTTACCAATCAATCAAGTATGCCATAGGCCATTCACATTTTTAAATCAAAAGATGTACTTTGGGTACATCTATCACCTGGAGGTGTAAAAACTTTCAGCATTAAGTACTGGCAAGGTCTGGTCGTAGGAGCAAAGAATATCTCTTCAAATTTTCTATTCATCAGAAATCAAATGGTCGCATTCAGCCTCTACTACATTTAGATAGAAGTTTTTATGGAGAAGCAATCGA